TTTTGTTTAATGGTTTTAAAGACCCCAGAACCAGACTCCTGCAGCACTGGACCATGGATGGGATACAGGCAGGTGAGGCAGCGGACGTGGCTTTGGGTGTGGGCTCTCAGGCTTTGTCCAGCAGGCAGGCAGGTGGAAGAGCAGACAGGGCTCAGAGCACCCTGCTGCCTCCCTGCTCCCTTTCTTTCCTTCTGTTCCTACCACTGCCGTCTCAGCCTACCACTGCTGCTGCTGCTACTGCCACTGCTTTTCCTCTGGCCTCTGCCAGCAGCCCCAGCGGTAGCAGTGGCAATGAGGACAAATGGAAACGGGCTCCCACAAGGTTTAATATGGTGTTCACACAATGTCCAAATCACATAATGTCCTATTTCATGACACATATAGTGGATGTTAAGTGACACATATCTCTAATCTCCCTCATGACCCTTGACACAGATAGATAGGAATCTCACCTCCAGCACTGTCACCTCCTAGAGGCAGGCATCATTGTGAGGCTCCTACTATGTTGGTCATGAGCAAGGAGGACTTGCATCCATTTAACAGGGTGTGAAGGACTTTCTCCTCCTCTATAACCAGAGAGTAAAGAGAAGAAAGGTGGGCAGCCCAATTAACTAGAATCCTACCAACTGGCACACTGAATTTACTCTTCCCCTTGCACATAAAGAGAAAATCGCAAGAATGCCAAATGATTCATTAGAGAAGAGACTGGGCTTGCCAGGGAGATCCTGAGATCAAAAGACATTCAGCCCAGTTTCCTACATGTGTAGCCACAGCCCTGTTTGTGAGAATCTAGGCTTAGAATGTTACCTGGAGGTTCCTGGGAACACCCCAGCAGTGGGAGTCTGAATCCTACCAAGGCAGTTAAGTTGTCTAGTACAGCCAAGATTCTCAACCTCTCGAGCAGGATTTCAAATTCTCATGGAATCCAGACTTTGTGGAGCCACTGAGCCCAGACGGCCCTCTCCCACAAAACTACTACCCTGAGGAAATCTTTATACCTTGACTGGAGCTATCCCCTGAAGTCATCTTTGAACCAAATAATAGTTTAGCCTAATTAGAAAAGAATGTCTACACTAAACTAAACAACTGGACCAAAAAGTAACGTCATGATAAATGGAGAAAAGACTGAAGTTGCCAAAGATTTCATTTTACTTGGATCCACAATCAACATCCATGAAAGCAGCAGTCAAGAAATCAAATGACGTATTGCTTTGGGTAAATCTGCTGCAAAAGACCACTTTAAAGTGTTAATTAAAGAGCAAAAATGTCAGTTGGAGGACTAAGGTGTGCCTGACCCAAGCCATGGTATTTTCCATCATCTCATATACATGTGAAAGCTAGACAATGAATAAAGAAGACAGAAGAATTGATACCTTGAATTATGGTGTTGGCAAAGAATATTGAACATGCCACAGACTGCCAGAAGGATAAACATATCTGTCTTGGAAGAAGTACAGCTGGAATGCTCCTTAGAAGCAAAGATGATGAGACTTCACCTCATATACTTTGGACATGTTATCTAGGAGGGACCAGTCCCTGGAGAAGGACATCATACTTGGAAAAGTAGAAGGTGAGTGAAAAAGAAGAAGACCCTCCATGAGATGGACTGACACAGTGGCTGCAACAACGGGCTCAAATGTAGCAACAATATTAAGGATGGCAAAAGATGGGCAGTGTTTTGTTCTGTTGTACATAGGGTTGCTATGAATCAGAACCGACTCGATGGCACATAACAACAACAACAACAACAAACCATTATACTCTTTTAAAGAATTACCTATATATGATCAAGGGAACTCTCGTAGCGTAGTGCCTAAGGCACTTGACTGCTAACCAGAAGGCTGGCTGTTCAAACCCACCAGCCACTCCTCGGAAGGCAGGTTGGGTGATCTACTTCCATAGTGATACTGCCTCGGCAACCCAAGGAGGGGTCGCTATGAGTCGGGGCCAACTCGACGGCATACAACAACAACATATATTTGTTATTATATGTTCACCAAAAAAAAAAGCTCAACCTCTCAAATGAGGCCAAAGCGGGGAGTTCTCTGTGTGCTCCTCCAGTCCCTAGAAACTCCAGTTCCCAGCACTATCCTGCCCTGTGCACTCTGGGCAAACTCGATTCCCCAGTCTTGGCTGCCAGCTCTGTGCCTGAGGCTGGAGACTAAGACTGAATGCAGTGAGGGGAGGGAACCATAAGAGTGCAGATTTGGCCCAATCAGAAACCACAAAAGTAGAGATAACCGAACACACCGACAGTCACCACCAAAGCCTACCTGATTCTCTCCTGCTTCTAAGAGTCAGCATGTAGACGCCAGGATCTCCAAGGACATTCTCTAGATAGGGGCTGTCTGGACGCCAGTCCTAGATTACACTGATATGGCTGTTTGGCCTTTAATAGGACTTGGGGAGGGGTGGGGATTAACACAGAGACTGTGTGCAGGCAGCGCCTGGTCAGATACTTCCTCTAATTATTGCATTTGATCTCTGCACCAGTGTTGAGATCTAGGTAGCCTCCTTTCTACAGTTTAGTGATCATGAGTTGAGTTATTAATGACTACAACTATTGTGTGTGTGTGTGTGTGTATTATTTTGTATGGAAGCTCTGGTGGCATAGTGCCTAAGGCACTTGACTGCTAACCAGAAGGCTAGTGGTTCAAACCCTCCAGCCACTCCTCAGAAGGAAGATTGGGCTATATACTTCCATAGTGATACTGCCTCGGAAATCCAAGGAGGGGTTGCTATGAGTTGGAGATGACTTGAGGGCACATAACAACAACATTATTG